ATCAAAAAAATTAAAAATTTTATCTCAAATAAGACTTTTTAATCCATTACTAAAAAAGCCTAAAAAATTATAAAACTAATCCACATCCCAAACGATGCCAAATTATTTAGGTGTTTGGCATATAATTAAAAAAAAAATTTTTATTTCTTTTTTTGTTTCAAGTGATATTTTTTTTAATTATATTAAAAAAATTTTATTTTAAGATCCGCCTGGTATAGGTAAATATAAAAAGTTAAAAATTTTAAAAAAATTCACTAAAAATAAAATAAAAATGAATAAATTACAAATACATATCTTGAAATTTACTTAAAAATACGATTTTTTCCTTTGTAGTTTTAAAAAATTATATCTCGCCTCTTAAAGTTCTTAATTTCATAACAAATGACCACTTTCATTAACAAATCATCAAGTTAGGTAATAATTTTTAATGATGTCAAAATTTTATTTCAATAATAATTTAAGTGGCTATTTTAGTCAAATAGAACAAAAGAAAATGAGTAGACCTCAAATTTTCTACCAACAAAATGTGGGACCCCACACCCATGTGAAATATTTGGTCATTTATTTGGTAGAAAATTTGGTATTCTTAGCATTACCTTAGACAAAATATAACATTCAAATCACAATTATTTTATTTTTTTCTTACAAAAGTCAAAAAGTTAATCCCAAACGAAGACTTTTTAGCTTCGGGCTAAAAAAGTCAAAAAATAATAAAGCCAATCCACATCCCAAACGAAGAAAAAATTATTTAGGATTGTTTGGATATAATTAAAAAATATTTTTTTTTATTTATTTTTTTGTTTCTAGTGATATTTTTTAAAATTATATTAAAAAAATTATTTTTAAGATCCGTCTAGTATAGATAAATATATAAAGTTAAAGATTTTAAAAAAGATTCACTAAAACCAAAAAAAAAAAATGGATAAATACAAATACATCTTCTAAAGTTTACTTAAAATACGATTTTTCCTTTATAGTTTAAAAAATTATATCTCGCCTTTTAAAGTTCTTATTTCATAACAAATAAGTTAGTTAATAATTTTATTGATGTCAGAATTTTATTTCAATTAATAATTCAAGTGGCATATTTAGCCAAAATAACAACAAAAAAATAACATTCAAACATAATTATTTTATTTTTTTCTTTAAAAGTCAAAAAGTCTACCCAAACGAATCTTTTTAGTTCAGACTAAAAAGTCAAAAAATCATAAAGCCAATTTACATCCCAAAAGAAGAAAAAAATTATTTAGGGCCGTTTGGCATATAATTAAATATATAATAATATATATATTTTTTTATTTCTAGTGATATTTTTTAAAATTATATAAACAAATTTTATTTCTAAGCATCCGCCTGGTATAGACAAATATAAAAAGTTAAAAATTTAAAAAAAGATTCACTAAAAATAAATAAAAATGGATAAATTACAAATATATCTCCTAATATTTACTTAAAATATAATTTTTCTTTTGTAGTTTTAAAAATTATATCTCGCCTCTAAAACTTCTAATTTCATGACAAATGACCACTTTCATTCATAAATCATCAAGTTAATTAACCAATTTTTAATGTTGTCAGAATTTTATTTCAAATTAATAATTCAAGTAATTTTATCATTGTATAAAAGAATAGTTAGGAGTTTTATTTTTTCAGTGAATTTTGTAAAATAAAAAAAATTAATAAGGGATATTTATAATTTTTCAAATTACAGAGAACAATTTGTATTTTAAATAAAATTCAAGAGATGCATTTAGTTTACTCAATGAAAAGGTCAAAAAAAATTTTTGTCCTTTCTGAACTTTTTTCTAAATTTTTTATAAAAAAAAAATCAATCCTTTTAGTCGAATAGAGTCCAAAAGGTTAAAGATTTGAATTATTTTTTTTAAAGTTTACTAAAGATTAAAAAAAAATAACTAAAAAAAAAACCTCAAACACGGAGGCCTCATTTGGAAATAAGTTATTTTAATAATTTTTAATTAAAATGTATAGTTGACAAACGAGACTTTAAGCTACACATGCGATAGGCTATCTTAGTTTTCATAATTAAAAGTTTTTAGATCGTATGATTCACTAAAATGAATTGTAATATAATCAGAATGTCCATTCCTATCTTTCGTTGGCTAAAAAAATAATAATACTATATCATAAATGAAATCATTATTCACTATTGTAAAATAATGATAATTGATAGGAAGGTTAAAGATTAATTCTATTTCACTCTTTCTCATATTTCTTAACCAAATACAACATTAGATTATTAATTTAAAAGAATTAAAATAAAATTATCAAACTATTTGACGTTTAGTTTTTTATAATCTCTCGAAAAAAAAGTTACACCTATTTAATTAGGTTGACACTTAATTTTTTTTTTTTAAATATCGAACACGTCCTTATCAGTCTTTTTATAAACATTATATTTTAAAAAAATTCCCAATATATAAAAAATAAAAAATTTTCTAATCCTCTCACTATTTTCTAATACCATCTCTACCCCTCCTTACCAATCTCCCTTCCAAGGGTATTAGCAATACCAAGGGACTAATAGTCCCAAGGCTTTCTCTGCAAACAAACAGGAGCTTTAGTAATACCTTAGTATTACTGGTCCCAATACCCTCCCTATAACCCAAAACAAACAGGACCTAAAAGTCAACTTTTTATTTATTTTACATCGTATTACTTTTCACATAAAATAATAAAAAAAATTAAAAATGAATTGATTTTTTTTTCCCCCAAACTTTTCAAAACATCACTCGGTGGAATGAGAGTGAAATATGATTGATAGTGACTCCATCATTAATCATCTATGCCACTATCCACATGATATATAAAATGCCAAAAGTAGGTTTCAAAGGACTTCGTCTTGAAATATCTCTCTAAATTTGTGTACTAAGAGATTTAAAGTTATTTTTTTACTAGAGTTTATCAATATTTTTATAAAGAAAATTTAATTCAAAATTTTTTTTTCTAATTTAAAGAAATTTTAGTCTCAACTTAAAAAAATTCAAAATTTCTCTAATATAATTATAGAGAAATTTCAAAAATTTTCTGTAAAAATTAAAATTTCTTAGAGCCGTGCCGAAATTTCTTTGAGACAATTTTTTAAAGTCGAATTTTTTTTGTAAAAAAGTTGAGAGACCTTAACTACTTTAAAATATTGTGTATCCTTATAAAATCTTAATATTAGAGATCTTTAAAAAAAATCCCCTTAATTTTAACTCTTTTTTTCCTCTCTCTTTTGGTTCCGCATCATTATTTATGTTTTTTTTTTTTTAAATTTTTGCATCATTAAATTGATATAAACATTTCATAATTTTTTTTTTATCAACAAAAAAGAGACTTAATTAATAAACGGCAAAGTACAAAATACGGATTCAACAACATCAATAAAGAATAACGAATGCAAAAAGCATTACGATATGCAACATTTCATAATTTATTTGGTATGTAAAGTATCAAATTGGATTTTTATTCGATAATTGATATTCAAATTATATATTTTTGTTCAGTAGTTAATATTAGAACAAATATATATAAACTAAATTCTTTTACAATGTGTAAATAGAAACTCCCTTACTCAAACGTTAGGCATCACTTTGTGTTAATTATTAATTATTGTTGAGAGTGATATTGTATATACATAATGTTTAGGAGGATATTTATAATTCCATCATTTGACTAATTTATAGTTTTAAAATTGTTTCACAGCTTGTGTGCTGGCACAAGCCACGGATCCATAAAAAGACAAAGAAAGGGATAGAAAATAGTAAATCATCGTGGTTCCATACTTACGAATATTTTATGATGATTTTTCATACTTCAATGTAGATTTAGATGTATTTTGAAAAGTTGGTAAAAATTTATTTTTTTTTTTATCTTTTTAATCTATTTTATATTTTTGTGAATAAAAAAATGTAAGAAGTGATATGACTCAAAATGAGTAAAAAATCAAAAGCTGGCGTTTTTATCTCTTTCCAAAACAGCCATTAATCTACAAGTCTATGCTTTTATTATGCATGATTGATGAGTTGATTTTGGGAGTTGATATAAACATTTCATAATTTATTTCCTACATCAAATCTTGTGTCTTTAAAAAAATATATATATATATAAGAAAGACAAAGTATTGGTTGTGAAAAGTTATACGTAGTGCGTGTGATTTATTTATTTTTTATGGATAAATGTTAGTTATTAATCGTTAGATTAATATTTATAGGAAAGAATTTTCTTATCATTGACAAAACACATAAGTGTTTGTACTCTTTTAATTTAACCCCGTAAAGAGAATTGAACTCATAATCTCATTGGGACTAAATCCAAAAGAAGGTATGGTAGTCAATTAAACTAGGCCTAATTAGTTATGAGTGTGATTTATTTGTGCACCAAGTGGATGTGGATGCACGATTGGCTTAATTACATGTGAGATAAATGACACGTAACATCAAATTATTTTTCAAATTTTATTTCAAAAATGAGATTGATGGTTCAAATTTGAAGTTGATATTGTGATCCATATATATATTTTTAAAAATTATCTTTTAAATATTTTTCTAAGTTTTTAGTATTGTTGAATTATGTGACTCATAACTACTCACATTTTAATATCATCTAATGCAAAGCAAGCAAAAACTCTTTGAACACATAAACTAGGCACAAAAATAATGCAGAATGCATCTATATTCTGTATTCAATTTTGTAATTAATTTTTGTAATCACAGCAAAAATATAATTTTGGACATCGTAGACATATTTTGGAATTGATTTCAATAATTTAAATTATTTATTTTTTAAGATTTATTGAATAGAATATTTATATAAAATAAATAAATAATCAAATATCAATAATTATATATTTAAATTATATTTATTTTTAAAAAATAAACAACAAATAATAAATAATCTTTTTAGTGAACAATCTAAATTATCAAAATCGATCCACTAAATCCAACTGTCCTCTTAAGTTAGATGGCTAGTATTGAGAGAATCCAAACTTTTTGACTTACCAAAGCATAACAGCTGATGCAAGAGATAACTTGACAAACCCCCAAAGATTATGGAAGGCCTTCCATGAAAATCCAGACCAAGCTCGACCACAAGCTCCACTAAAGATATACAAGAGCTGAGCCACCACTATGAGCCACCATGATGCATTCAGCACCACTGCCGCCCCCACAAGCCCCCACCCCAACTTCAGCATCAGAAGCCAGCTGAAAATAGTGTGTAAAACCAGCGCTGCCGCCGCTATAACCGCCATAGCCAGCATCTTGCTCTGTGCCTGCAAAAACTTTGCCAATGGAAAAACCATGGCATAGGCAAACAGCTGTGGAATCATCCACACCGCGAAAGTCCCCGCCGCCTCTGATATCTCACTTGTTTGGCCGATGAGTTTCAGAATTGGTGTTGCAAAAATATAGAAAAACATCAATACAAGTGATGTGGTGTTGAGTATGACCCATGATCTCTGCATGTACACCCCTAACATGTCTAGTTGACCGGCTCCGAACGCTTGCCCACATAGCGTCTCTAGGGCACTCCCCATCCCCAACTGTTCAAACAAGTCATTGATTGATCAGTAAAACTTTGATATATTCCTTTGAAATGAACAAATTTTTAAAAAAATTTATGAAAGTGGTCAGAATTGAAAATGTGTTAAGACATTAAGTGAGGTCTAGTACCTTTATTCGGGCTTTCATGGTGGCATAACCTGATTACTCAAATTGAGAAGATATGAACGATTGGGATTTTTTGCATACCAAGTAAGCCCGAATCCTCTGGCTAGTACTTGTAAATTAAATTTATTACATTTAACTCATTATTTTTTCCGAATACGTAACGGTTTTTATTTTTATTTTTTTATATTAATCCTAGTAAGTAGACTGAGAATTATGTATGGTACATATATATAACTTACCAAGATGCCAAAAGAGAATCCGGCAATGACAGAGTTTTCAACAGACACGGCGGCAAGTTCGGTAGTTCCGACATGGCCGGCGAAGACTTGAGTGATAGCTCCGAGAGAATACTGGCAAATGGAGGTGAAGATTGCCGGACCGGCAAGGTACCAGAGCTTTTTTGATTCAACAATGGATTCTCTGAAGAAATCATTGATGCTACGAATTGGTTTGATATCGGCTTCATCGGCAACGAAGGATGAAGATCGAGAAGTGTTTGATTTTCCTATATAGTCACCAGCTATGGTGGACAGAAGTGGATGCTTACTATTCTCCTCCTCCATGTTAGAGAGAGAGAGAGAGAGAGTGTGAGTGAGTGAGCGAGTGAGTGAGGCTGATTAAAACCTATTTGATGAGGTGGGATGGGATTTAGATTGCATGCAATTTAGGGTTGGTTTGGGGTGTCCTAAAAAAGTGTACTTTTTGTCTTTTTATAAAAAGATGTGCAGAAAAGTAGAGAGGTGATGTGATAGAAAAAAGATAAAAAGATAAAAAAATGGATTATATAGGTTATGCCAAACCAGGCTTTAATAACGACAACAACACTGCTACACAAATTCATATGTTTTATCAGATTTTTATTTTAAAAAATCAATCAATGTAGGGTGGACCTAAAACATGTCAAGATAAGTACAAAATCTTCACAAATGTAAGCCTAAAACATGCTAGAAACAAAGGCACACAACCTAAGACATGTTAAGGGATCACAAGGCACCAATTCATTTTCTACTGCACAATTTCATTCTAAATTTTTTCTGAATTAATACAATTACTAATTTAATTAATTTTGTAATGCTTTCACCCTATCTCCACATAGTTTGATCATTAATGTTACAAATATTGATTGAATAAGTCTCACAACTCACAATGATTTTCTTCCAAATAGAAAAAGATAAGATTTGGATCAATTTTTTCTTTAATTTGTTTTGTTTTTTAACTGCCTGGTAGATAGTCAAACTATGGTACTTGGACCAGTGAATTTGCCAACATGCAATACCTTATTAAATATGAAAAATGATACTCTTATAACTTTTTTTTTTTTTAATTTTTTTTTTAACAAGACTGATATGATATAATATTTTTGAAAGGGGAGGCTTGTCTCCAGATCTATTGTGTAAATTGGTATTGTTAAGTTATGTGGGATTTATTACGGAATTCGTTTTTGACAAATTTAAATCGTTCAGGTTGTTGAATTTAATGTGTAGATCATTCACTCAAAAATTCATATTAATTCGATAATCATAATTATATAATTTTATTAAATTTATCAAATTATTTATTTTTTTATTTTATATAAATGATCTATATATAAAAATCAATAAAGGAAATAGTTTGATAGTTGAAACAAACCTTGTGATAGGCTCACAAGACCGAGCACGAATCCCCTTCTTGCATCATTTCTTACTTGTAGGGCTATTGGACTTATTTTTAGGTCTAATTTTGATAATTCGAACTGTTTATATTTTAAGATTTATTCAGTATATCATACCTGTAAAAAATCAAGTTAATCGGATATTATAAAGTATATGTTCGGAAAAATTGAACTAAAAACTATTTTTTTTTAATTTAATAAATAGTTTTTCGAACACATACTTTCTGATATCCGATCAACTTGATTTTTTACAGATATGATATACTGAATAAATCTTAAAATATGAACGGTTCGGATTATATCAAAATTGAGCCTAAAAGTGGGCACAATAACCCTACAAGTAAAAAATACAAGAAGAAAGTGCAAGGAGGGGATCTTGACTCCACAAGACCCAACAATACTCTTAAATCCATAGTTGACTGGAGGCAAATATGATATTAAAAAAAAAAATTGTCTCTTTTTTTTTTGATAAAAAAATAATAAATATAAAAAATGAAGATTGATGGTAACGGGATATATTGCGTGGTAGGTGACGCTCTCATTGGGAAGACCCATCAATTTTTAAAATAAAATAATTGTGTTAAAATAAAAGGTGACATATAAAATGACATGTAAATGTAACATAAAAGGTGAATTTCATAGGTGAAGTTTATTATATATATATATACTAGGGTATACCCGTGCCTGAAGGCACGGTGAAAATATTATTGGAATGAAAATGTAATTGAATATAAAATTGCTACGGTATGTCCGTGCGGTGAAAATATTGGGAGAGAGATAAGGATGGAAGGGGGAGGAGACGTGGGAGAGAGAGAGAGAGAGAGAGTAGAGTGTGTTTGGGCGGGAAATATATTACTCTCAACCGTTAGATATTCATTAGGATTGATCTAGACCCTCCATTCAAAATGTATCTCACATATGACGGGATATATTGCGTGGTAGGTGACGCAACCATTAAAAAATGAAGATTGATGGTAACGGGATATATTGCGTGGTAGGTGACGCTCTCATTGGGAAGACCCATCAATTTTTAAAATAAAATAATTGTGTTAAAATAAAAGGTGACATATAAAATGACATATAAATGTAACATAAAAGGTGAATTTCATAGGTGAAGTTTATTATATATATATATATATATTTTTTATCAGGAAAAAAGGGTTCTATGGTGTCATTATGGCCCCATTAGGCCCTAGCCTCGGGATAATTGGTTGTCAGTTAAGAATTAACCCCCACCAAGTAAGGGACCCACCACTAGAGAATCAATAGAGAGCAATCACACGCCGCAGTAGAGAACAGGGTTCGAGGGGAGTATGAGCGTGTTCTCAAGAGAGATTTCAAATGTCCCTTCCAAAAATCGATCCTGACTTTCGGTTAGGAAATGTGCCACATCCTCCGCTAGGCTACCAACCCTGGTGGTGAAGTTTATTATATTTGATACTCACTATTTATCTTTCTTCCATAAAACTTATATAAATTAATAATTTCTCCCCTCACTCAATGATTAGACTTGAAAGGTCTTAGTTCCTCATTACGGGCTCACATTTGAACTCTTTTGACCATTCGAATTATTTATTTTATAGATTTGTTGAGAGTATTAATTATCTAAAAAGTGAAGTTGATCGATTATTAGTAATCATTTTATCGAATCACATTTGTTTAGAAAAAAAAAACTGATTATATGATTTTGAAGATAGTTTGTCTAGTCTTTTATTTTTTATTTTTTAAAAATACAATTCAATCAAATGATTTTTGATATCAAATTGACTTAATTTTTTATATAGATAATTTTTTTAACGAATTCTACAAGAATAATGATTTGGATTGTTGAGACACATCCGATGTTGGTTTACAGTGAACCTATCCAATCAGATCATGAATTGAAGAGGAGTGCTGCCTATTAATTAAATGTACATAATAGATTTTCTAAAAACTATATGAAAGATGAAAAGAGCATTACTAATCAATGTAGCGCTTTTTGAGGGTTTCAAAATTTTCACAAATATCTCATAAAAACAAGGTTTTTATATGAATGCCATGCAATTAAATTTTTATTCAAATTTAGTTTATAAATTGATGTGGTAAATGAGTTATTCTTTGTTAGAATAGTAGAGAGAGAGAATAATATGTATTGTATTGAATGATTGTATTGAATGTATTCTATACAATATAAGACATGTATATATAGACTGAGAAAGAGTATCCTAGAAACCTAATTATGACTATTCCTAAATATATCTAGGAAATCAATACTTAATATATTTAGGAATACCACATATACATTAACATCCCCCTCAAACTCAAGGAGGATAAACATCTGGAGTTTGAAGAGAGAAACTAAAGCATGAAATAAAACTGAATAAAATAAAAAGCAAATAGATTGCAAAATCTGAACAGGAGCGCAAGGGTGCTTGAAATAGATCAAAGGTCAGAACTAAAGCCGGGAGACAGTTTATGGTCGTGTCGAACTATTGTGAGAGTTAACCGGAATCAATGTCGGGACAGCTTGAAGGGGTCATGCCGGACCGATATAGAGACAGTTTAAAAGGGTCGTAAAGAGTCGTGCCAGACCGATGTAGAGAACTGGATGTTGAACCAGCAAGCATGACACACACATAACTAATAACATGGTGCTGAACGATGATGGCAACAGATAACTGAGTGCGCTAGAGGATGGCTCGGATAGTACGCCAGGAGGCGACTTTGGTGGTGCGCCAAGAAGACGGTTTAAAGAGTGCGGTAAAAGGAGACGGCTTAGGTAATGCGCCAATGAGGCGGCTTAGAGAGTGCGCCAAAAGAGGTGGCTTAATGGTGGTTTGGGGCTTAGGTGGTTCACATGGTATATCACCATGCTCACTATGATATAGGTATAATACTCCCCTCAAACTCAAATAGGTGTGAAGATAGATACCTATTTGAGGTTGAAGCAGAAGGAAACACAGAGTGGAGCAGAAGTATAAAAAAAAATTAAAAAAAAATATGATAGAGATATTTTGGGTAGGAATAAACCAGTGGATATAGGAAGAGATCACCACGAAGCGATACTGACAAGAAAATATGATAGCAGAATAGGTTGAGGTCTAGCGGGCGGCCAAGACGAGGCTGTTGCCCGCTGGTGAAGCAAAAATACTAGATTCTTAACCTAGCTCTAATACCATGTTAGAATAGTAGAAAGAGAGAATAATATGTATTGTATTGAATTGAATGATTGTATTGAATATATTCTATACAATAGAAGGTATGTATATATAGGCTAAGAAAGAGTAATCTACTAGAAACCTAATTATAATTATTTCTAAATATATTTAGAAAATCAATACCTAATATATTTAAGAATACCACATATACATTAATACTCTTATACTCTAGAAAAAATCACTTTTCTTTTTCACCTTTTCTGTTAGAATATAGATGATGATGGGTCAATAAAACACACAATGCAATGGAAATTTCTTTTTCAAAGTTTATAAATTGATGTGGTAAATGAGTTGTTCTTAATATTTTTTTTTTAAATTAAGAGAATTTAAAAAGTTTAAAAAAATGATTAAAAGATTTAAAAATTCACAAAAATTTAAAAAAAAAAAAGGAATTAAAAACTTCAAAATTGTTTTCACAAATTACAAAACCAAACAAATATCTTTTATAAATTTCAACAATCAAATACATGTTATATAAATGGAAAATGTTAGAGGGCCACAAAATCTGTCGCTCAAATGGCTTAAAATTGTCAAAACGACGTCGTTTTGCGTCATTTTATGCCCAAAATGATATCATTTTAACAGTTTTAAGTCATTTAAGTCACTGATATTGTGACCCTCTAGCAATGCTGTATATAAATTTAGCCAACGAAACAACTAGCTCTGCACCGTGTACAACAGACGTTCCTCTGCACCGTGTACAACAGACGTTCCAATTTTGCTTCTGCATGTGTGAAGCACATGTCGTCCACAGACACAATTATTGGTGTCTGTT